GGAAGTTTTGGGTTTATCCTTCACTTCGGTCATAAAGGAATTACTGTAGTAGTCCGAGGCTTGGCACCTCGGACCTGTCCTTACAGATAGTAATAAGAAAAAGAAACATAAAGCATATAGATGATAGATCCCATGGTGAGACTGAGTCTTTTTCATACTACAGGAATTTCATCTTGCGACAATGGCAAGAGCGAATCAGAATGCTGAAACGTCTTCAATAGCCTCAACCGAAGTGCCTCGTCAGGTGAGAACCATATTCTGCTGATACTTGATTAACTTCAGATTTGGCAGTGGTCTCAGTTTACTTACGTCTCTTTACGAGTTTGTTTTTTGACTACTTTTTTAACAGAACAACCAGTTGAAACCTCATCTAACAGAACCTAGAACCCCATTACTTCAAACATCATTAAGGGCCAGTCCGCCGAAAGTCAAAGTTCTATCGAACTTGAGCAAGAAGAACTCGAAAAGGCCGCTAAATTTAAGGCAAGGCCTTTGAATAAAAAGGTACACCCTCGTTCTTGTAGTGCTTGCTATCGATGTCAACCTTCCCTTTAAACTAACTTTAGTTCTGACATTCTATAGATATTTGAAGGCAAAGGGGAACTGGGGATCTCCTGTCATGAAAAGAAACAGGTAACTATACCCCAAGAATTCCATTTTGCAACAAATGAGAGGATACCAGCAGCAGCAGCTGTTGTTAATTTATTTGACAAGGTAGTTACTGGAAATATTACTATGCCGCTTTACTAATCTGAGCATAGGAAATTTCATTATGGTCACTCATTTTATCATTTAAAAATATTTTACAGCTTTCCCTGAAATCAGAACCTCGCCATGATCCGATTACAAAATACACAATTCCAAATCCATTCCATCTCCATACCGAGGTTTGTTTGAATTCACTTTCCTGGCTAGGTTAAAAGAAGGGAAAAAAATTTCAAACAAACTAATAGTTTCATGATTGACTTCAGGAAAGAGGAACTGAAAAGGAAAGAAGATTTGTGATGGAAGTTATGTAGAAGCAGCTGGAAGAAGAAAAGGCCGGCAAAACCTACTTTTCGCGTTACTATGTTGGTAGGTTTTAGCCTCTCACCTTATACTAGACACTTTTAGCCCCTCATCTATTAGAATCGAAAAAAATAACCCTTAGTTTATAATATTTCTTTAGTTTCTGTTAACTGACTGTTAACTCTATTAGTTGAAAGTAGATTTTTTGCTAACCAATAGTCAATTAATAGGGTTAACAGTTAACTAATTCTGACTGTTAACTATATTAACTGGAAGTAGGTTTTTACCTATTGGTTTTTTCTCAAAGAAAATGGAGAAAGACCGAGAGGAAGATGATGAAGAGCAGAACCCAACTAAAATGGAGAGGAGTATATCACTCTAACTCAAATTTTCTCATTACAATCTCTCCTATTTATAGGAGAATACAAACTCAATTCAAAATTCAAATCTAAGCAACAATTCTACATTAAAAAAACAATAAAAGTACACTTTAAATTTGAAAATAACAGCCACTTTTGCTGCATGCTTGCCTCCTTTGGCAGCTCTGCAGCATGCTTGGTCCTTTCATTTCATTTACATTTGCATTTGCATTTGAGTTTGCATTTCATTTTCTGTTCATTTCGTCCTCATTTAATCAACATTTGCAGCTTATCTTGCTGCACTTTGCTGCTACCGTGCTTTGCAGCTCTCCCTTCTTCATTTGCTGCTATTTGATGCAGCCTTTCATCTTCATTTGTTGCCATTTTGTGTAGCTCTCATCTTCATTTGCTGCTACTTTTATAGCTTGAATACCACAATTCCAAAATTGCCAATTAACAGTCAGCTAATAGAATTAATAGGTAGTTAACAAAACTATCAAAATGTTATAAGTAAGGGTGTTTTCTTTAATTTTAATAGATTAGAGGTTAAAAGTGTCATAATATAAGGTAAAAGACTAAAAAGTAGGTTTTTGCCGAAAAAGCCAGGGTCCCCGAAGCTAATCCATATTCTTATACAACTGATTTCCCTGTGGTACGGAATCTATGATCTTTTTTTTTTTTTTCTCTCTCTCAATTTAGTTTCCGTTAAGTATTTACCACGAAATTGTGCTATAACTGTGGCTATTTTTCTGTGGATTCCTCCAAAACCAGAGCCTAAGCCATCCACAAGACCAGAACCTGTTGGAGAGTCTGGTTAGGCACGAGGAAGAAATGCAGAGGGAGATGGAAGAGAGATGGAGGAAGGAGAAAGAGGAAGCTCAAATGAGGTTGTTCAAAGCACAGCCAATTCTGAAAGAGTGAGTTATTATAATATCCATATAGACTTGTATTCATTCATTTCATGGCTGTCTTTTGACAAGGCTTAGGAATACGTATTGATTCTTGTTCAAAAACATGGCTGTCTTTTGCAGGGACCAAATTCCTGTTCCAGAGAAAGTGCGCAAACCTCTGACTCAAGTTCAGGAACTCCATGTAGATCACCGTGCTGTGGATAGAGCAGAATTTGATCAAAGGGTAAATTACCTAGCCGTTTCTCATGAATATATATGGAAATGAATCTGTATTGAAATGCATTCTCATGGATAAATGATGATGATTTTTCCTTGAAAAACAGATAAAGGAGAAAGAGATGATGTATAAGAGATACAGAGGAGACTGAGGCTGTTAGGATGGTGCAGACCGTTATAATTTTATTTCTAAATTTAGATTGTCATTGATGTTGTGACCACCGTCAAAATATACTTAACATTTATCATACAATTTCCACTGGCTGATAGAGGAAGAGAAGGCATTGAAGCAATTGAGAAGGACAATGGTTCCGCATGCAAGACCTGTCCCAAAATTTGGAAATCCTTTCTGCCCACAGAAGTAAGAAGAAAAAACTTTGTATTCTTTTCCTTATTGAGTTTTTTCTCCCTCTTTTTCCACTTTCATTAATATATGCATGTTCCATGGTCTTTTTTCAGGTCTACCAAGGAAACTACAAGGCCAAAATCACCAAATCTACGTGTTCTTCGAAGAAAAGAACAAAGAAAAACGGTGGGTTCACTCACTGCAACTTCCAGCCCTGCCACTCTTCTGAGATGGTTTGGGTTTCAGATCTATAAACACGGTTAGGAGGGGCCATTCAAGAACTCTTTGAACATCTCTGTATAAGAGTTGCGTTTCTTGTACAACATCTTTTTATTCTTTGAAGGAGTTTAAGCCCTCCACTTTGTTTCAGAATTCAGAACAATAACCATTTTGACAATACCTGTGTACTGATTCCGATTCATCAGACTCAATCATGTAAAGTTCTTACTTAGAATGAAAAATGAAGATGACTTTTGAGTTCAATTTGAGAGTCCTAACAAACTCTTTTTTTTTTTTTTTTTCCCTTTGGCTGACACCCTTTTAACAAACTCTTTGAAAATGAAAATTTAGGTGAAGTGTTAGGATAAGTGGTTGAGATTTTCCTTTTCCTTTCAACATTTGCATAATTTTTTACTGAACTCTTACTTAAATCACTTGTATTAAATTCTAATCATTAATCCTTTTACTATAAATAGTTGTGATTTTTTTTTTTTGCCTTAATATAAATAATTGAAATTTATTACAATTTTTTTTGGATAAAAATGATAATTATATTTAGAAAGAAAAGATTTATTTATACAAAAATTTTACATACTTTATTTGTATAAAATCTTAATTATTTATCTATTTATTTTTAATAATTGAGATTTATCATGATTTTTTAAATAAAAAATAATTATTTTTGATAAATATAAATAAATTTCAATCAATCAAAATAAAAAGATAAACGATTAGATTCTATGTAAATAAAATGTATAAAACTTATATGTAAGTAGATTTTAAATTATGTTTAAAAAATAAGATAAGAAGTGAATAATATCAACATTCATAATTGAGGGATAAAATATCAAAGTTTTATATAAATACTGTATGCAAAAATTACATAAATTGATCTTAATTTTTAGTTAAATTGCATCGAGTTTATATATTAAAAATGGATTTCCTGTTGGGAGAGTCTCAATATAGAAAATTCCACCGCTTATTTAACAGTTTTTATTGTGTAATTTAAACGGGCACAACAATTTTTTCTTAAAAAAATAAATAATAAATAATAAAAAGTATATCGCATCTAATTTAGATCATGCTTTCCAAAGATTGTAATATTTGGGAATAAAAAATTGAGTTTTTTTTTCCTGTTTTTTCTTTTTTCGCTTCTGCTTAGTATACGGTGTAAAATAAAATTGCCAGTCTAGATTGAAAAATTAAACATGTATTTGGGCATTTCTTAAATGCCATAGTAACAATATATATATTTTTTTATTGGTACAGATTGAATTATATAAAATGAAAAAAAAAAATCCAATAAATAAAGGAGAAACAATTTCGTTATGAGGAATATATTTTTATATCAAATTTTTTCTATATTAAAAAACCCTACTTGCCCTTTTTTATTTTCTTTGTTGCCAAGGAAAATCAATTTCTCACGTCCTAGATAATGTACGTAACATTATAAATAATACTAAAAAAACAAAAAAACAAAAAAACATAGGATAATCTACACTCATGCTTTGGTCTTTCTACATCATCCAGTAGAAAAATCAGACCAAAATAGAAGATACTGATTCAATAAGACAAAAAGACAATCCTTATTCTGTGTTATCTACATACATACTCTCTTCAATAAATAAGTTTCTTCTTCTTCCCGGTAGAATGGCAACATCCTTCATGACAAATTTTGCTAGCCAGTCTGCTTTTTCCGGTATGCTAATACCTGTAACAGGAGCAGTTAAATTATAAAACAATCAGAAGGACTCTTCATGATAGGGACATCTTTAGTTTCACATTTATGCCAGGAAACTATGGACATTATCCGGTGGCATAATTTTAGCTTGAACTATTGCCATGCACAGTACGCATTGAGGCATCCATAATGATATAAACAAATGCATACTCACCAGATGACCTCTAGACTTAGTGCAGTTGATACTGAGCCCAGCCACAGTTTCTTGACTGTCCAAAATTTGTAGCTCATCCTCTGATGGTGGGTTGGAGAGATTGTCATCTGCATTATCTTGTCTTTTCACAATTAATATTTCAACATCTGCAGCTCGCAAGGGTGTCTGAAGAGCAACAAACTGTGCACAACATATGTACTACAATTTTAGAGCAGCATTACATGATAAAAGAAGCTGTATACCATGAAGAAAATCAGTGAGAAAGTACAGGGGTTCAGGTTGGATCAAATTTTAAGCGGGCACAGAACTTCCCAAAATGGACACAGACCATCAACTATTGAATAAAAAATTACGCATGTAAAGACAGTTCTACATCACCAAAAATATCAACTGGATTTTGCAGGAGTCAACCTAGATTTCAACTTAGCCACTTAATGTGGACGGGCCTGGCCAGCACAACGGCTAGGATTTCCCAGTTTTGCAAGCCACTAGGTTTCTAGTGATGCTGTGATGGTATCATATTTTTTCCCATTCCCTGGGTGCATCCAAGCAATTGTAGTGGAGAACTATATTAACGAAGTAAAAAAAGAAAAAAGAGGGAAGAGGAGAGCAATTGGGTCTGGATTTTGGTTGCAGGGTGGGTGTTTGGGAAGTAGGAATAGCCACTTTCCTGATTTTTTAGGGGTGAATTTATCTCCTGTACATTGACACATCTAAGAAGTTTAAGAATTCAGGTAGTGGGAAAGAAATCTCACTTCGCACAGCTGCTTAACTGATAGACTTGGCTGACAACAAAGATGTGGCTGCTGCAAACTCAGCGTACCTTGTTTGTCCAAAGAAATAAGCTTGAGATGAAAATTCACCTGCCAGTAATGAAGATGCTTTAATTACAGAAAATTTAAACCTAAATGGAAAGTGGAAAAGGGGAAACAGGAAAATAGCAATACAGGATGCCAGAGATGAACTCTTTTCTGGAAACCAGAAACCATATGAGAATTGCATCCCAATTATAAACTAGAGATGTTTTGAATGTAGTAGTTAAATACCCCTCATTGACCAATTGACCCATCAACAAGGAGTGCGACAGTATCTGGTCATACCTCATCATTGTTTTCCTCCATGCAATGGTCCTCCAAGCTCCGGAGATACTCCACCAGCCTATTCAAACGAGCAATTCTTTGACTCTTGCTGTTGCCAGCACTAGAATTCCCATGACGGGTGTGACTCCGAACACCACCCCCACCCCAAGCAAGCATTTCTGGATTCCACACAAGCACAGGTGAAATTCCTCTACTGTCTCTGGACATTTCCACATCATCAGCACAGCCACCATCCAAGACAGATGCAGAGTGGGATGATGGAATTCCTGATCGTCTTTTACGCCTTCTCTGCCTGATTTCTGCACCACGTTCTTCAGAGGACGATGAATATTTTCCCCCAATATCATCATTTTCATCCTCATTGTCTTCAGATCCTTGATGTTCAGTACCTCTAGAGTTCCGTCTCCTTCTTAAATGAGCACTTCGGGGGTTGCGTTGTGATCTTGTCATGTAGCTCCCTGTGCTGTCTTTACCACGTCGCTTAACAAGGGCTTCAGATTGGCGTTGAAATATTTGCGCAATTGATGCTTGAATCTGGACAGAACATTAAGAAAGAAAATTGAGAACAAGTAAATGTGTTGAGTATAGTTATGCCACATACACATAAATGCACCCATGTAAAAAGCCTGAACTCTGGACTAGTCTATTCATATCCTTTTAAAGATATCGCAACCGAACAAAGTCCCAGGCAATGACCACAAAGCTGTCCACACAGGTCCAATAATAACAGCTTTAGTTGTGACTTTGGTGAATGAACTTTCCATTTTAAAGTTCATTATTTATACAACAATGTTAAGTTCCCTGCACAAGTGGCATGATCAAACCATTATAAACTCAAAAATTGATTGATGTTGGAAACCTGTTGTAAGTGTGCTTTATCTAAAGCATGGGTGGAAAAGGTCTATATGAATGTATATCTCCATAACCATCTATAGAAATTTTTTATCTTAAATTTTTGGTATGATTCATTGACAAGAACAGCAGAGCAGTACAACGCAAATGCAGCAGAAATACATATCATTGTATATCTGACCTGTTTATTTCGGGTCCTTTCCTCTTCATGGAATGCCAGCTCCTGAAAGACAATACATCGCCAATTCACCATTGCTTGATGTGCAAAATTGTCACCAATACGTTTGACCAATAAAACAGATAACTCCAATAATGAATAAATAACAAATAAACTTTTACCTCTTCTTCATACTTATCAATATCTGGATACAAAGCTGCAATTAGGGCATCATAGTTTGGATCATCTCTCAGGGAACGTCGACTTGCACAATGTGTACGGCAAGCAGGACACTCATTGTTTCTGCAGTTGTTATTAGTGCAATTTTTGATTTGTTGTAAAAGGTATCGAATGATCAATTTTAATCATTCAAAAAATTGCACTGAAAGAAAGGTTAAGAGATGAACATGCATTCATCAAGACATACCCCAGTCTCATTGATTTATCAATGCATTCCCTGCAAAAACGGTGTAGGCAATCCATAACGGTTCTTGTTTTCTTTATTATTCCTGTATAGTTGAAAGTCATGATAAGAACATGCGTTAGAGATTCCTTCAGCAAATTGGCTAATCAATAATTCACTGCATAACTGCTGATCCTTGATCACAGCTTCCAGAAAAGAAAGATCAAAACCTTGTCAAATAATACTCCAGTTAAACCAGATGTAGAAAATCATTTTTAGTTTTTCAGTATCTCTGTATAGAAAAGTAAGTGACACACATGCATCTTACAGGCCTTGCTGCAAAAATTTCTTGTGCAATTTTGCCTTTGGATAAAACATGCATATCATTAGATGCACTGCCTCACCAAATAGACCACAAAAAACACATTTTTGTAATAACATATATGGTAAAATCTCTTTTCTATGCCATTATAAGTCATTCTATGTTAATTATATTTTCAAACTTATTGAATCATGCTAACATGCTGAACTAGGTCTAGAAAGTGTTGAAATCCAACTTTCATGAATTATCTCCATTTGCAACAAAGCAACAAGCACAAAAGTCCTCACTGGGAAGAAAAAGGTTGACAGAATTGGACTTAAAGCTTTATACATAGCTTCAAAGGATTGCTTTTGCTTCTCTATTAGTCTATTATATAAGAGAAATGATGTTTAAAAGAAAGGTAGCCACATTCAATTCCAACCAACAATAGTGAGTGAGAACCATCAGCAACATCCACACATGCCCATGCACCTCACATTTACCAATATTAACTGTTTAAAATGGGGTAAAAGGGCCAGCTTAGCAAAATTTTTTCCTAATTGAAAATTTTAATTAGAAAGAGATCACTCTAAATTAATCAGAATGAAGTTTATACCTTAAAACAGAACATATATCATATCCAGCTGTAGACTTGTTTAATCAAATTATCTTTATTCCCACACAGATCTAACTTCTAATTAAGTGAGAAACAGGAGCAGATATACTAAAGTTTATGTTGAACAAAAAAATAGCTCAAAAAGACAACACTTGCACAAATATGTATCCTGAGTATTAGAAACCATGCACATCAGACATCTATTTGAAGAAACTATCAAGTTGTATTTAAGTATTGAAAGTAAACAATAGCATGATTTGACAGTGTAACATGCATTAAATACACTGAAATATGCCTTAGACCTGATCTAGGGCTCTACCTCTTATAATGGTTTGTTATTTCCCAAAAACAAATTTGCAAAAGGTGATTGGTTTGAGTCTCAATCAGTATTCAACAAATTTAATTCTTAATGAACATTTCATTAGAAAGTATTGTTACTCCTTGACCAAGTGACGTGTGCAGACACACAGTGTGAAACTGCAATATTGCCAAAGTAAAGATTACCTAAACAAATTGGACATTGTACATCTTTACGAATTTCTGGTAGTTCTACCATGACAAATCTGCAAGAGAGACAGAGAAATGTACATTAAACCTTGTAGCAAGAGATTCATAGACACAAGTTCCTCATAAAAGACACAAAACACCAATTCTTAAACTAAAAAGACACAAAACACCAATTCTTAAACTAAAAAGGCACAAAGCAGCAAAAAAGCAACCATAATGTGCATGTATTTGCCTATTATCAGTTAGAAGTCATAAAGTACATGAGCAAATGGAATTGTCTATCCCAAGACGTGTGAGTTCAGAATGATTAGATACAGTAACTGCATATATCAAAAAAGAAAGTTACATCGAATTAAAAAGAAGAAGAAGAAGAAGAAGAGGAAGAGGAAAAGAATACAAACATCCAACAGAAATGAAAAGTGATAAGAAGGGTTCCCTTCAGAAATTAAGTATTTGGTTTTTTCTCCAGATTATCCAGATAAGCTAAGGGTTTTTTTTAGCAGAAAACATTCATCTCCTAGACCTTCTATGTTTTTGAAGCACAAAAAGTCAAAAAGGGAAAGTAATGCTGATCATTGTTGTTAATCCTCATCATGGTCAACTTAATTGGATAGATTTTTAACTTAATTCTTTGTTGACTTTGTTGTCCAACTTACTGGTTGGATTGCATGATGAAGATTGTCAAAATTATGCTTAATGAACCAAGGGATATTCAAGCGTTTCTTATGGAAATTTTAACCAAATAAGGATCAAATAAGCAATGATAGAGATTTCTGAATCTTTGTTTCTTATCCAACTTTATGCAGGCAAAAGTATAATAACTCCAACAATCAGATATCTACAAGAGAGGAACTTGATTAATGCAAATTGCCCTGGCCAAAAATAGTTAAGAGTTCAACCGAACTATGTGTAAATATGAAAGTATCAACAATTGAATGAGTAATGATGGCATATCCAAAAAATATAAAGTATGTCCGATCCCTATCAATGTGAAACTATCCAAAGGAAGAAAAACAATCATGAACTAAAGAGAAGGTGATATACTTGTTTTCCCCTTTGCAGTTACTGACTGAACCATTGAGTTGAGAGGTTAAGGCCAAAAAAAGGCTAAATTAGCAGTAAGATCAGCATATCTTAATCCCTAAGCAGTATGAGATACAAATGAACCAAAGCTGGATTTTTTATGAAATGATAAAACTTAAAACAAAACAGTTCTGAAACAACATATAATGAAGCTTCTGATCAGCATCATCCGGATGAGATTTCAGGGTTCAATGCAAATTTGCCAGATGTTTGCCGCACACATGTACAAGCATATATAGATAGAAATATGACTCTATGACAAATCACTTGGTCTTGCCAAATTAGATATGTAACCTTCTAAATTTCATCAGTTTTCTTTTAATTGAAAGCAAGTGCTAGCATCCCCTTATGGTATTCCAAAAAATAAGACAGAGAAAGAGAAAGAGAAAGAGAAAATAAAAACAATCAGCAGCTGAAAGAATTTGAAATTCTAGTAAAACTAATCATAACCATTATGCGAAGTAGAGAGACATCCTGGGCCAAAAACCAAAATCTGTACTGTCAATTATTTGAACAAGAAATAAGTACGTGAAGAGTTTTCTTCCATAAACATAAGGCCCCACAGTCGACAAGAATTACTATCCCACTTCAAGTTTTATCACCACAATCATAAAAACAGGACTTGGATCGAGACATGCAAGGTGCAATCCGAAGTCATTATCATGCATCCAGAAGCAAAACACATACCAATGTCACCAAGTTAATAACATAACACTAAACAACTAAGACACTTCCCTGTTTCTCCAAACGCATTTACCACTCAAATCACAAGAGCAGATGCTATTCAGCCAAATTAAAAAAACTGAGCTTTGGAACCAAAGTCAAACCTAATTATACCTCCATAAACTGCATATGAAATTTCCAAGATGAGAAAAAGAAAGAAATAATAAAGTGAGGAGAGATTGAGTACGCACTCCGGTTTCTCTCCCGAGCTAGAGGATTCGCTCCCATCAGAATCTGAGAAATAGAATGAATCGCGAACAAAACATCAAAAGCAACAATACCACACGTATATAATCATCTACACGCGCATACAACATATTTAGAAATAACGGTAACGTTACCGTCCCCTTCGTTGCAATCATCGTCCTCGTCCTCACCCTCCATTTTTGCTCCCTGTTTCTGTCCCTCCGCTTCCTCTTCTCCTCCTTCTTGTTCTTGCTCTTCTTCCTTCTGCTTCCCTTGCTGTTCTGTCTCCTCGTCTTCAGCTCTCTCTAGCTCATCGTCTCTTCGAGATTGCTTGCCGTGGTTCAGGTGATGATGCGCGGAGTCATCCCCGTCGTCGAGATTCTCCGGCAATGACCACTTCTGCGAAGGCATTGAAGCTTCTGGTACACGATTCCGGGGCTGAATCGGACAGCGATGGAGGCAGAGGAGGAGAGATTTGATGGTAAGAACAACTGTGCGTTTGTATGCGTAGAGAAAAATGAGAAATAGATACAAAGGAGATTTGGCTGCATTTTTTATTTAGTTTTTACAATTAATATTTAATAATAATAATTTAATATTAATACTTTAATAAGGAGATGAAGATATCAGGATCAAGTGTTGCAGTAAGTAAAGTCCGCATGATCGGCCTTTGTCAATTTTTCTTTATTACTATGATTTTTACTTTTTATAAACTACAGTTTGAATATTTTCTGGGGTTTCCTGTTTACCAATGTAGACTTTAGAGTTGGGCTTAATTCAATGATAGTTTATTAATTATTAATCGAATTTCATTTTAGTTTTGCATGTTAGTTTTTTTTTAATATTTTATTAATTTTGTAAAATATTTTAGAATAATTTACTATATAAAAATTTTATTAGTTTTAATAAAAAAAAAGTTTAATCAAAATTAAAATAAATTAACCCTAATAATCAAACAGTTCACGATAGATTGTATAAATTATTAAAACATATCAATAATTATGATTCCTGTTATTATAACTTATTATAAAAGAAAACTATTAAATGAGGAAAATAAAGTAATATGCAATAAAAGTTACATTTTTTCAATCAGTGAAAAAAATATATTATCTTCATAAAATTAGTTTTATCTCAAAATTAATTTTAAAAAATAAAATTTCACAAAAAATATAGTTGAAGATCAATTTCGCTTAACGAAGTGAAATTGTTGATAAAAAGGTACCAAACTAAATTAAAATAAAATAAAAGTAAAAGATAGTAGATAGATATGAAACTATGAAAAGATAATAGATGAAATAGAAAAGAAAAGGTTTAATTCAAAAATTAGTTTATTAACTATCAACTTGATTTCATTTTAGTCTAGAAAGTATGTTCTATTTTTAAGTGGTTTATAAACCTTCGAAAATATTTCAAAATGATTTACCGTACAAGATTTTCATTAAAACTAATGGAAGAATTAACTTAAAATTAAAATAGAATAGTCCTTTAAGTTTTAAAAAAGTGACACTATAATCCAATAAAATAAAATGAATCGAGGAATACTCTATAGAAATAGATTAGTTAGAATTTATAATAAAATTGAGTAACTAGCTCAATTCGACGAGAGAAACCTAGCGAACTTAGAAAGAGAAGTTCTAGAAGTAAGTATTGAAAATACAATGGGAGTTAGAACTCTTAATTACACAATAAGAACAAAAAGAGAAAGAATAAATACATTAAGAAATATTATTAATACACTTCTATCAACATGAGTGATGAACAAATAAATCAAATTAACATATATCTACTCAATACGATAGGGAAAAGTACAATAGATATAGAAGATACAATTATCATAGATAATATTTTAAAAATAGAAACAATTAATGAAAATACCCTAAGAGGAATTAAAGAAATAGGAAAATTCCTTTCTTAAGAATTTGATTCTATTAAAGAAAGAATAAATACTATCAAAAACTCTAGAAATTTGAAAGAAATAAAAGAAGAAATAAGGTCTATTAAAGATTCAAAGACTCTGATATATAGAGTAAGAAGATAGAAATCAAAATAGAAGAAATTTTCAAGATATTAAAAGCAATTGCTGAAAAATTTACAATAAAAGCTTAAAAATATATAACAGAATAATTTCACAACTAGAAAGTGATATAGATAAAAAATTTTATAAGATCCAAACACAACTCAAGGATTTACAAGATATTATAATATTAGTCTATAATAGGCGAAATATTGTAGATAGAAATGAAGGATTTAAAATAATCTCAAATATTTTCACAAAAAAGCCTAAATCAAAAGGGATAACACTTTTCATGTTAAAAACCCAGGAAGAAAAGTTGAAAGAACTTGAACAAAAATTCTTTAAAAAAAAAAAATGTAGAAGAACTAGATAATATGTGCAGACAGATTATTATAACTACTAAACAATTAGAAAATATGAAATTGAATACCTAAAAGGAGGAAATAGAAAAGGAAAGTGAAGAAGAAAAGGATGAGACACATCCTAATATAACCCGAATAGAATTTCTAGTGCCACCTGGAGTAGAATCTAGTATAAGCCAAAGTTATAGAAAAAATAGAAATCTAACACTTGAAGTGATATATGATAAAAAGAGTAAAAGATTTGGGAATCAATCTACACTTGAAACACCAATAAGAGTCAAAGAGCATATAATTAGTACTAATGGTATTTGGCTAGATCTAGATCGTGTTACCGACCTAGAGAAGGTCATTAGTGACTGGGGTCAAGCTACTTGGATAGCTGTAGTAAACAAAAATTGGAATGCCTTACAAACAGTTAGATTTATTGAAGTCACTTTTAAAGGGATAGTTCACGACTGGTTTGCTGGTCTAAATGAAGAAAACAATAATGTTATTATAAGTGGAAATCCTACTTCAAAAGAAGTTAATGAAAATGAAGCAATTCAAGACATAATAAATAGGTTTGAATCAGCCATTGGAAGAGAATTCTTAAGAGAAAATAGGGAAGAAAATCAAGGAAAAGAAGAGGCTAGAATTGGAAGAATAATAGTGTGGAATTTGCAAAATTTAGAATTATGTAATCTCTATGAATTAGATCAATACATTTGTCTATTTTAGAAATATTATTATAAAGCTTCAAATCATAGAATGACTAAAGGCCTCATGGAATTGTTTTTTGGAAGAATTCCTAATCCTTGGGAAATAAAATTAGCAAAAGCCTATAGAATATATGTAAAAGATAAGAAAGATACTTTAGGGTTAAGGATTTGGTTCGCTAAAACCAAAATTAATGAATGGTGCCTAGAAACCTATAGCCAGAACAAACTAAGAAAGAGTATGAAAAAGGGACTATGTTATCCTAAGAATAGCAATCTAATCAAGCTAGGATGTAGTTGCACCAACTACAACAAGAGAAATAAGAAGTTTAGAATTAAAGAAGTAATAAACAAAGGTTTAATAAGAACAAATTTTCTAGAAGGAAAAAGAGGTATTTTAAGAAAACCAAAACATAAAAAAAGTATAAAAAGAACCCTAAAAATTGAACATGCTAGTTGTGTAAAGAAGAAGAGCATTATGCAAATGAATGTCCTAAAAGACACAAAAAAGAAAGTACTAAAAACCTAAAAATTTATGAAGTAGAACTAAGTGAAATAGATACCAACTCTATAAGTAGCGAAAAAAGTATATATGAAGTGGAAAGTTTATATACCTCTAGTAGTGATGAATCAAAATATTGAAGGAGAAGCTTATTCTGAAGAATATGAAGGACATGGAGAATATAGTCAAATAATTGTATTCGATAAAAGTAAATATAAAAGAATTAGACAAAAGAGAATGGACCTTGCTTTAGAAAAAGGATTCAAACCAAATTCCTTTATAAGTAATGCTTTTAAGAGAAAAGATATAGTTTATTACGGAATATCCACTAAAGAATATAGCATTTCTATTAAGAATACAATGGGAATAATAAATATACCTTTAATTATCAAGGCAGAAATAGAAAGCAAACTATCAAAAATCAAAGAAGCTAATAGATCAAAGATAGGTTTTATCCACATTGGAGGAATACAAAGACTTATTAAAGCTCATTTTAGAGAAGGAATAGACACCCCAATAAAATTAACTTTAATAGATAATAGAATCAATGATAGAAAGGATGCTATCTTTGAATTAGTGCAAGGTAACCTTAGTTACCAGAAACTCATGTTTACAGTATATCCAAAATACGTTGTAAACATTAATGATAGAAATATTAATAAAACCTTAAGTTTAGCACATGAATTTACTAGAGAAACTTTATGAAAGATGGATCAATGCCATATACTATATATTATATGATAAGTTATGCATTGACTAATAGTCATCAATCTAATCTTTTTAAAGATAAAGAATATATTGAATTAGATCCTATGTTCTCTAAAATAGGACAAATTCAAAAACCAGAAATGATCACTGAAATAAAATTACCCAAAGAATGGGAAATAGACATTAGTAAAAAACCACTCCTAATAGGAGAAAGAGAAATGCCTAGGCTAATGGCATACGAGTCAGGAAAACTATTAGTCAAAACAGAACCTAAATCAAGCCATAGAAATAGTGTAGACTTAGGAGTTATACGCTATCCTAAGAAAGGTAAAGAGGTCTTAACTAGAACAACTAGTATAAAACATGAGGTGGTATTAGACACCTTAAAAATCTCTTCTAGATATTTCAAAATAAAAGGAGATTATTATGATGGGAAAGAATGGCATAAAATTTCTATCCTAATAGATACAGGAGTAGGAGTAACACAGATCCATAGTGATATGACCACACACCTACCAAGATTTAAACTCACTAAACCATACACATACTACAACTTTAATGGTGCAGTGACCACAGTACATGAATATGCTAAAGTACCTCTTAAAATAGTGGATAAGAATAAGATACAACATGAAATCACTATAACAACTCATGCCGAAACATAAATGACTGCAAGTATAGAATTAATACTAGGAAATACGTTCGTAACATTGGTATAGCCCTATAATATCCAAGAACATTATTTAAAGATTACCTTAAGTGGAAAAGAAATGGTTATACCTCAATACTATGAAGACTAGTATCTATAGTGTATACATATCCATTGGAATCAAATATCAAGAATACAAAACAAAATTCTTTCATGCTTTTATAGATACAGGGTTTGGGATATGTTTAACCAAAACCAATGTATTCCCAAAATATTATTGGAGGAACACCTCTCAAACTAAGAAAGATGTAGCTATAGATGAAAATATTATTCAATACAAAACAGTAATAGAAAGAGTTACTGCCATAATTGGTGGAATTGAAGTTATAATTCCCCAAGTCTATGAAAGTAACGAGCATGGGAATGATATTCTATTAGGAAACAATTTCCTAAGTCAATTCAAGCAGTATGTTCAAACTGCATCATATATAAAATTTTATAAAACTTGTGGACATTAACTTTACGCCTCCAGAATTTATAATACTTATACTAGAGCAATAGAAC